GGAGGCAGCCCTTGGAACAACAGGCTGCTCCCAAAGAATGAAAACAAGCCCCACCCCAGCCAAGAATGACTCCATTCAAGAGGGACCCTGAGGGCCAGTAACCCCCGGGGAGTTTCTGTTGGAGGCGGGGTGGGGCAGAGAGCAAAGAAAAGCAGGTTTGAGGTAGTGAGAAAGCTTCCACACCTCCCTCTGAGTACGCCACAGAAAGAGGCCTGAGAGGTACTCAGGCCTGGCATGCTTGGGGGCTGGCCCTGCAGCTCAGGAACACTACAAAGCCAATTGCCCCAGTGTTAGAAGCACTTGCCCAGGCCTTTCCCTAGCAACTGAACTCCCCTGAGAACTCAGAAGCCCTAGGCCGGAGACAAATGTCCTTGCCATTAAGAATGCCTACCGAGTACCAGGCTGCCCACACCCAGACCGTGTCAGCTTCCACGCTGTTTGGCAAAACCTGTCCATCCTGCTTGTTGGGACAAATTCCTGGGCAGGCAGCACAGCCTGCAGGTAAGATATGTGAGAGCTGGAAGAACAGCACCCTATCTGTGTTCTTCCCCCAGAAGCAGTAATACAAGAGCAGGCCAGTCAGCAGCATCTTTTGGAGGCTCTTCCAGGTGTGTCCAGGAAGGAAAGAGAGCTGGAGTTCCCCAGGAGCTTCCTTCTAAGCAGATCCCTCACCTCACCATTCCCAGGACATGGTGGGGAGCCTTTGCCAGGCCGATTCTGTCTGGAAACAGCTTCTACTATCTTCTAATAGAACCCATGGTCAGAGGACAAGTGAAATCTGAGAAGCAGATTCAGGGAGGCCTCTGCCCTCCCCGAAGGACCAGGGGCCAGAAGAGGAGGTGGGGAGGGGGACTCAGAGCCCAACTCACCGAAAGGGGTCTCTGGAGGTGAAGTAAGCCGGGATGGACAAGTAACTCCCCATCTTCTTCCCACACCAGATAAACAAGCTCAGCTGCAAACCCGTCTGGGAGTGCCTCAGGCTGGCTGCAGACGGCCACCATGACAGGTCTGGGGCTCCCGGTACCTCTGGCTGCAGGCCTGCTGCCCAGCGCTCACCTCTCCCTCCGGAGCAGCCGGAGGGGCATGAGGACTGCGGGCCACTTGCCCCCCAGCAGATTCCCAAAGGGGCTCATGGCTGGAACGGCTCCTCCCCAGCTCTCGGAAGCTCAGGCGGCCCCTTGGGACTCCGGGAGAACCACCTCTCTGCGGAGGCTACACACGCACAGGCATTCTTGGGCAGGGGCCGGTGACTAGCTAAGAAAGAAGCGCTGCTGTCAAGTTAGCCTTCTTCTTCAGTCCCACCCCTGATGAGGGAGGGAGGGAGGGAGGAAGAGGAGGGGCTCCTCGCGGAACCGAGGTGTGTGGTTGGAGCAGCTATTAGGAAACAGACCTTGCAGGCAAGGGGTGGAGCTGGGCTGGAGAGAGGCTGTAGGCAGGCACCACAGACAATAACCAGGGTTGGCTGAGCGTCCATCCCTGAGCACAGGGCAGGAAAAAGAGTGAGCACATCTGCCTCCAAGTGTCTCCAGCCTGAGGAGCTGCCCAAATGGCAGTAACTCTGCTGGGAGGTAAAGAATAGCCCAGGATATCAGTTTCAGGCCAAGCCACACCCCCAGAAGTGGGGCCTCTATGGCAGGAGAAGCAGGTCCAGAGACCCAGGTCCAGAAAGCTGCCCTTTGGGCTCTCTGCTCCATGCAGGCATTGACTTGTTCCTGGCACTAGAGTCCCCATTCATCCTTTCCCTCTGCCTGGCCTGGGGACAGCCCCAAGAGCTGGCCAATGGGGGCTGCCACTCCCCTTCTGGGCAGAGCTGATGCAGATGAGGAAACAAGACCCAGAGTGTTAACTAACACCTAGTGCCTCTCTATGTGGCAAGCACTGTATAAGCACTCTCTTATTTCCTTGAGGTGGGAATTATCTCCACTTTACAAACAGGGAAAGCAAAGTACAGAGAGATTAGGTAACTTACCTAAGGGAAAGCAAGGTACAGAGAGATTAGGTAACTTACCTAAAACTAGTCAGTGGCAGGGCTGGGATTTAAATATAGGCCCATGTGACTCCAGAGCCAGAGATCTCAGGCCTTGAACTTCATTCTGCCTCTTCAAAGGGAAACATCTCCCTCAAAGCCCTTCTGTAAGTAGGAGAGAGCACAGGGACTGAGCCCAAGTCACCTGTCCCCTCTCTTTCATTTATTTGTTCTTTCCCAGAATACCATCCACTGGCCTCAGGAGGCAGGCAGTGGTGCTTCTTCCACTGTGTCCATGGTAACCAGGCTTCTCAAATTGAAAAATGGGGGATGATGGAGAACAAGGTCCAGGTGCCTGTGGGGATGATGGGCCTAGATATCTAGAATGGGAGTCTGTCTGAAAAGCCCAGCTATAGAGATACCCAAACCAGAGCCCACCATTGAAAACTCCCTTATCTCATCTGCAGAACTATTGAGGGAAAAAGCAAGGCTGCTGGAGAAGACTGGGGCACGTCCAGACCTCACTGTTTGACTTGAGGGAGTGAGACCAGCTCTCTCCCAGCAGGCACATGCTCCTCTCCAGTGAAGTCACCTTTGTCTATGGCAAAAGTGGTAGATGGGTTATAAGAGAGCCTTTTTCCATTCCTCTCATTGGGCACAGGGATAACAATAAATGTGAAAAGAGAGATTGTGTTTGTACCCTATTATAAGCTACCATTTACTGAGCACTTATGTTCCAGGACCCATGTTATGTTCTTTGCATCTATTTTTAAAAAACATTTTTATTGTGGTGTATGTGTGCGTGTGTGTGTATGTGTGTGTGTGTGTGTGTATGTGTGTGTGTGTAGACAGATAAAGCTGACATTTTTCCCACTTCTTTAAACATATAATTTAGTAGCATCAGTTATATTCATAATATTGTCCAACTATTACCATTTCCAAACTTTTTGTCACAATAATCTATTATAGTTTAAGATGAACCTGTCCTCTGACCCCCTTGGGGCAACTACCCTATCCCCCACACCTAGTCCAATACCTCATCTGTCACAGTTCTCTTCATCTTAACTCTAATTCATGTAGCCAATCCCCAGTGGGTTCCCGGGCACTGGGGCTGGTGGCTTCAGCCTGCCTGGGTCTGGCCAGCATTGGTCCTGCAGTGCCCTTGGGGTCACCCTGGGTGCAATTTGGCCCTGGGTCCTGAGCTCCACAGTTGCAGGCACAAGGCTATACCTGAGGGGTGGGAGGGCCAATAGCAGGCACACCCAGAGATCCTAGGCCCAAGTAGGGTGCAATCCCAAGAGAGGGAAAATTTTTAAGTGGAGGGTAAAAAACAAGCCTATGAGTGACCATGCAAGGACATGAATCTTCAATCTTCTGGTGTGGAATCAGATGCTTTATCCATTAGGCCACATGGTCCTGTGATGGACAATTGTGCAAGCCTGTCCGGACCTGCACCTGTTATCTATTATACTTAAATTATCAATATATGGTGGGTAGATATTAACATTCCCATTTAACAGATGAGGAAACTGAGGTTCTGAAAGGTTATGTCACTAGCCTGAAGACAAACAGCTGATAAGTGGTGAAGCTGGGTTTCAAACTCAGTAAGTATGATTCTAGAGCAGGGGTCAGGACATTTTTTCTGTAAAGGGCCAGAGAACAAATATTTTAGGGTGGCAGTCCTATACAAATACTCCATCAAAGCTACTCAACTCCATCACTGCAGCATGAAAGTGACCATGTATAAAATGTAAAGAAATAGACATGGCTGTGTTCCAATAAAACTTTATTTATGGTCACTGAAATTTGAATTTCATGTAATTTTCGTGTGCCATAAAATATTCTTTTGCTCCTCCCACCATTTAAAAATGTAAAAATCACAGATGCACAAAAACAGGAGGTGGAGTTACAGTTTGCTGATCTCTGCTCTAGAGCCAACGCACTCAACCACTCTGTTTACTGCCTCTAATAGTGACAACCAGCTTTTGGCATTTGTGCAGAACTCAGCCACATCTTTCAACTGCCACACAGACACCACATTCCAGCCCCAGAGGCAGTGGGGGGTGAGCACTGAACCGGGTGCTCAGCCTGCTCCAAGCACTACTTGCAGCACTTAGACATATGAATGAATTTTAACCCACACTAGTCGGTAGTGCTGAGATTTCCCCTTTATAGGAAGGAATGGAGATACAGAAAGTTTAAATCGCTTGCCTGAGGTCACCCAGCTGTATCGGTGAAAGGTGAAGCTGAGATTCGAACCCAGGTTGTCTATACTGAGCTCTGTCATTGTTATGCTATAGCCCAGCCTGGGCCCAGAGCCAGATTGTCTGGGTTTGAATGCGACAATGCATTGCACGTAAGCCCGTGGCACACAGTCTGGAACACGTTAAGGGTTGATAAATGTTAGCTGCTAATATCATTAAGACTATTGTTAATACCACTATGGACTAGCTATGTGGCCTTCAGCAAGCTGCTGCCTCTGTCTGGACCTTGATTAGTTCTCTGAATAGTTTTCAGCTTCAACATTTTCAGCCCTCTAAGGTTGCAGAGGACCCCCTATTTCCTTGGGTCTCAAGTTGAGTTTAAACTTCTTGAGCTGTCCTGAGGGGATCAGAATCCTGGCCTGGGGGCCACACAAGAGCACAGAGGAGCAGGGTGGAAGGGGAAAACAACATACAGGACATAGCTCTTTTTCTCCTAGCCACAGAGCCAACTATTTCTCACCAAAAATCTATTATGTTCCCTGTAATTCGATCAGGCAAGAAGGGGGCCCCAAATTAAATTTGGAACTAGCAAATTATCTTCTAATTGCATTCTCTGATTTCCATCTGATGAACAGAATGCGGATAGAAGAAAATGCAAGCCACAAAGAAACTGGGGCCAGGGAGCCCATGAGCATAACTCCTCTTGACATTTCACACAGCCCTGCTGTTCCAGCGGCGGCGGGTGCAGTGAGTCGATGTCTAGGAATGTGAGCAAGAGGCTGCAGGCATTCTCTGTTCCCCCCACTCCCCTTACAAAGAACTCAGTGGGTGGGTGGGTGTGTGGGGAACTAGTAAGAGGACGTCTCAATGCCACGAAAACTGCCTCCCTCTGGAAGAGGGGCAGCCGTCTCCCCATGTCCTGAGCTGAAGCTGAAGAAGCAGAAGCCCCTCCTAGGTGGACTCCATCTGACTCCCATAAATCCAGACCTTCAGGAGGAACCACTGAAGGACTGATCACCAGATGTGAGAAGCTGCTGGCCGCTCAGACCCAAGTGTGTGGTTCCTCAGGGCCAAGATCAAAGGGCCCAAACCTCCCAGAACTGAGAGGTAAAAGGTCACACTGGAGGATGTATTTCTCCCTCTTGCCCTTGGATACTGGTCCTGGGTGGAAAGCTGTTCTTCTAGGTCCCCAGAGCAGCTGACAGGGGATTCAGCAGTTACAGCTTCCAGAGACATCTGCAGGGACCCTTGGACTGGAAGTTACAGACAGGATAAGATGGCATAAGGGGTGCTAATCTCCTACACATTTCACAAGTTAGAAACCTGGCTGGAAGCTGAGCAAACTGACTCCTTGGAAGGGGCTGAAGGCGGCTACCAGAGGCTGGAGACAACAGCCTTCAAGGCAGGCAGGCTCAAGTGAACACTCTGGGGAGGAGCAGCGAATGAATGAATCACCCCAATCTCTCCTCCAAAGAAGGCTCCGGTCAGATAATGTGAAGTGCAAGGAACTGTGCTCATGTGTGGCCCTCTACTGGCCAGGAGGACTCTAACCAGGAAAGGGAGCTCCTGCGGACGCTGCAGCTTCTGACTCTTGAAAGGTGAGCACCGCCATCCCCATTACTGACCACTTTCCCTCCTCCTCCTCTCTTCTAACTCACTTTCTACACTCAGCAGTAGTCGTCTTTCTAAAAATGAGAGTCCAACCAATTCCACTGCTAGAAATTTTGCCTAGAGAAATATTCCCACAAATGTGCCAAGGCATGTGTCCAGCACTGTTTAATACTAAAAGATTAGGAATAATCCCATATGTCTAATGATGGGAGTGGGCTAAGTATAATAACACATCCACACAATAGAATATGATGCACTGTTCAAAATAGTAGGGTAAGTCCTAGCTACAGAAACAGAAATTGTCCCGGGTAAGGTGTCATGTGAGAAATCCAAGTGTCAGAAAGAGTTTAAGAATAATCCCATTGTTTAAAAAGTCTATGCACATAATCCTTAGAGACCACCTGGAAGACTCTGCCATGTAGTTATCAGTTTCTCTTTAGAGTAGTGAGACAAGAAGCTGGGATGAATAGTTTTCATTTGCTACTATTTTGACATTATTTATATTTTTTCTTATATTTAAGTGCTGCTTTTTAAAATGATAAATGGACAACAATAAGAAGAAGTCTCATGATTTAGAGCAAATATTTCATACTTTTCTCATAGTGCTCTTGTCCAAGGGCAAAGCTTGCCTGAAGCTGTCTCTTCAGTTTCCCCACCAGCGTCAACACTCTGGCCACCTTCTGCCCACTCTACTTCCTGACCCATCCACAAAAGGCTCTTGCAAGCAGCCCCTTAAGCTTTTGCCATCTTAGCTCCTGCAGTCTCCTATGTCCCCAGCTGGTGACTTTCTCCTCCTCCTTTTTCTAGTCTCAACTCCAACAGAGCATTTACTCTCCTCTGGGAAGGGTTCCCTTGACATATCCCCAAGCACATCACAAAGAAGGGCTCTAGGTCCATATCTGTCTACTACCAGATCGATTACCTGAGGCCCTCACCTGATGTCCACAGATGCCTAGTAAACAAACATGATTCAGGACCTCCATTAAGAGCAACTACAGTATGAGAATGGTGATAGTAACTAATGTTTATAAAGTATCATCTAGTTTAGTTCTTGCAATAACCTCGTAAGGAGTACAGGATAGGCAAAGGAAGCCCAGGGATGTGGGTAATTCATCCAAGGTTACTGTGAGTGTAGGGCTTTTGCCAGGTTTGTTAACGTCAAATCCCATGCCTTTTCCTCAACATGATCCCTAGCAAGACATTCAGGAATCTCACCTCTCCAACATGGGGTCCCAAACTGCTGGGTATGTTGAACTCCTACATCTGATTTTTCTAGATTTTCTGCCTACATTCTTACTATCAGGATATCATGAAAGAGTTTATCATATGACTTGTAAAAATCAAGAGAGGGTCTCATGACTAGCAACCTAGTGAGAACATGAAGTCAAATCTGATTAGCCATAACAAATTCACTGCTGCTGAATCCTTTTCTAAGTGATCAGCTCCTTTGCTAAGTACTCACTGTCCACTTATTCCATTATCTGCAAAATTCCATCTAGTGGAATTTTGTGGAGTCAAGTCAAAAGGATATGAGTTTACTTTTTCCAGGATCTCTTTTTCCTACTTTTTGAAAACTGAGCCAGTTATCCATCTCCATATTTATTTTACTAATCAATCCCCAGTGCCTGGTATATAGTAGGTATAGAACGAATACCTTCAATTCTCCATGGTTTCTCAAAAGTTACTGACAGTGGTTCTGTTACTGTGCTAATAAGTGCCGCACCCCCCTTGCCACCCAGTATACTGCGGAATAGTTTTTTCATTCTGAAAATCTAAACACATTTCATATGTCTGCGTACCCTCTTACATCCTGGGCTTCCTGTCCTCCCTTCCGAGTTTCAACTTCATGAGCTATAAAAGAAGGGATCTGATTAAATCTCTAAGGTTCTATCCAGATATCCATGATACCTGATTAAGATGGACGCCAAAGATCTTCTTTTGCCTGGTGTTTATTAAAATGACACCACACCCCCGCAGTTGCAGACACTTAGCTCTTACTCTGGAAAATACTGACAGTTCCATGAGCCAAGCACTCAGGTGGGTTTGCTCACATATCCTTTTATTTAATTCTTGTAACTCTTGAGGTTGAGGTTATCATCTCCTTTTCGCAAATGAGGAACTGAGGTTCAACATAGAAGGTTGTTGTTCAGGTCGCAGGTCTAAAAATTGGCAGAGCTGGGATTTAACCCAAGTCTTTGGATTCCAGGTCCAAGACACTACAGTTGCCTCAAACAACTATTTTACACTTGCTATCTGACTTACACTGGTATTTCTGAAAATGTGGCTAGAAGAATAGCAGCACTGGACTTCTCTGGGCAGATTGCTGAAAATGAAGATTTCTGGCCCCACAATCTGCATTTTAAACAAGCCCTGGTGTTTCTGATGCACACTGGAGACGGAAAGCACTGCTTTACTCTCTCCTATGTGCTCCTGCACTTGACTTCATTCTACTCTCATACTGACTCTGAAAGGCGGGCAGGACAGATCGCTATTATGCCCTTGCTACAAATGAGGAAACGATTGCAAGACAGGTTGTTCATCTTATTCTGGATACAATACAGGGACTTTCACCTCCCTGGTGCTGTTTTTAGTCATCTGTAACCCACAGTAGCTGCCTCTCTCTTCCTCAGTGACACTGTAGTTAGTGGTAGTGCTCAGGGTACCTTGGGAAAAGGTCACTCCAGAATATAAGGTCATCTCATGAAAAGGCCACCTTTGGAACTGAAACAAGTTTAAAAGGACAAAGTACAAGACCTGACTTTAGCCAACTTCAGAAACAGTTGGTGCTGCTATAAGAGTCATAGCTACTGATGGGAACAGAGCCCAGCAGAGGACCCTCTGATCTAACCAAGATCACTATAGGACAGCCGCAGGAAGGCATGGCCAGAAGACAAGTGACACAGCAAAGAAAACTATCCTAATTCAAATCTGCCTTGAGGTACTTGGAGGTTTCCTCAATAATAGTGAAGAGTGGAGAAAGAATTTATTAGCACTCCTCCAACACTGGCCAGGGGAGGAGGAATTCTAGCCCTTGGAGGAGAAATACAAGACAAATTAGCAGCCCCCTGAGGCAGTGCAGAAGGCCCTAGCTTTGATGATTTTAGACTTTGGAATAATATTTACAGACAAAGGTCTTATTCCATGCTCCCACTTCAAAAGAAAAGCTCTTGCCTAGGAGAATCATGCAGAGCAGAGATGGTGATGATGCATACTGGAAGGGCTTGATCCAAGGGTCCAAAGAGAAAGGTGGTCATTCTACAAAAATGTCATTCACCCAAGAAACGCGGAGTATCTGCTGCATTTTAGGCACTCTGGGGCATAAAGACGAACTAGATATGGCTCCAGACTTACAGAAGTTCATACTGTAAGAGTGACGTTAGATATGTAAACAAACATTGACAGGGCTATAACTGAGATATGAGGAGAATAACAAAGAGGGAGAAAAAGTCTCTTCTCATTGGTGGGGAGGGGTGATGATGGATTCAGGGAGGCTCTTCCACAGAGGGCAGGATATACTGGCTGAATGTAACAGGTTGATTGCCAGGCAGACAATCACATTTCAGTTTGAAGGCACAACATGAGCAAATGAACGAAGGCATAACAGAGTACAGCCCATAAGCTGCAATGCAGGACACATGTTAGGAGTGACCAGAGAGGAGGCTGGGATGGTGGAAGAGAGCAGGGGCAGAGCACCAAGGGCCCAGTATGCCAGGTGAAAGAGTAGCCCTTAGGCAGTGAAGAGTTATCAGAGGTATGTACACAGCAGAGCTTCCCAATGAATAGGATGGAAAGCCTGAAACACCAAAGACACGCTGGTCTTTACTTGCCAGTTTGTCTCTCTCAAGTCTACAGTTGGCTATATATATATCCACATGACGTCTGCTGGCCAATGAGTGTTCACGAACAGTAGGCTAAGGCTTTGTCCTCAGGCTACATTTTCACTGAGTTGTTCATTTTAACAGCTGAGATTTGTTTGTATGGGGTGTAGAATGTACGAATGGGATCACACAACCCCTTTTAGATAATCATCCACTGTTGCTCTGTGATACTAATATTAGAAAACTGAATGTCCAACATTCAGTGTCAAATGCTTGTTTACACAGACGTTCTCCTCCCGGCTGCACTGGGGGAAAAATGCTTTGGATGCCTTAACAAATTCCCAGGGGATGCCCAGAGAAGAGCCCTGGCCTGGCAGAGAAGACCTGGAAATGTGACCTGGCTAACAACAAACTTTCTGAGTGATCTGAGGCAAGCCAATAAAGCTCTCTGGGCTTCAATTTCTTCTTCCTCTGTAGAAGAAAGGAGTTATGAGAATGAAAAATTCCACACTAGTAGGTCGGTGCTGAATGAAGCCACGAGGAAGGGGTTATGGTCAGAGAAAGATTGACTGGATGACGACCCAGAGGCTAGTGTCACCTTGGTGAATGACCCTAATCCAGGCCTTGTTTTTGGTCTTTTAGGTCCAGAAACAAGACTTCATAGTACCCAGAGAGGTGCAGACATTCTAGGATGGCTCTACACAACCATTTATCAACCCCACTGTCCATTTATGAATTGACACCCATATGTTATGAAATCAGAACACCCACATCCCCTATACAGGCACTACCTCCAGATCCTTCCTATTATCGAGAGTTCTGGGAAGCTGAATTAGGCATCAGAAGATTGCTCTGTGAGCATGGACTTAAAATAAAGGGAAGTGAGAAGCCATGGAGAGAAATTTTATTCTCGCAGGAGTGAGCTGGCCAAACTAGCCCTGTCTAAAACAAAAAATTTCCTTCTGGTGTCCAAATCAAGATTCAGTATCTTTATCTGGACACACTACTAGTTTTGCCCCATTGACTTTTCATTTTCTGTTTCACTGCTGGCCATTCATTATTCTACTATTTTTTAAAAACTTATTTTTAATTAAATAAAAATCATTACTTCTTTAGACATGTAACAATCACCAATTCACATATCATTCAGCCCTGGGAGACATTTGGTTCCCTAGCAGCTAATAACAAATGGTTAACACTCAGGAGCACTACTCTGTGTGAGGCCCTGCCACTCAGTGCTACACATGACTTCCCTCATTTTACCCCTTGCAATAACACTAGGAGGTAGAAAAGAGGTCAGTATCTCCACTTCATAGAAGAAAAAATGAAGCAGAGAAAGGGTGAATAACTTGCCCAAGGTATACAACTAATAAATGGAAGAGCCAGGATATCAGCCCAAGCAATCTGGTTCTAGAGTCTGTGCTTTTAACTACCACACGTTACTGCTCTCCTAATATGTAGATCTAACTAGTGTAACTCCCAGAGGACAAATTTCCATTTCAAAATGCATAGGGAATCACCAACCCATATACACCTTCCCACCCTTCAAAGATTTCTAAAATTTTAAAAACAAATTTTAAAAACTTACGATTAGAATCAAAATTTGACAGACTTCAGGGCAATTCATAATTAGTTTGTGCTAGAGTAGCTGAACTCATTCTTCCCTCTACTGCCTCTCTCTCCCCAGGACTGTACCTACAGAGAAGTGCAGCTCAAGATCCACTGCTGGATAGAAGGACTGCTGGATAGAAGGACTGCTGGATAGAAGGACTGCTGGATAGAAGGACTGCTGGATCAGCCTCTCTGGCTCTTTTGGGGGCAAAGACAAAGCTTTAACTTCTCACCTCAACATTTGCAGGCAATTTTCCAAAACAACCCAATGTCCGGAACCAATTCCTCCCTGCCATTTACAGTAACTGCACCATGGTGGCTGCTAAGGGAAGGATGTGGGGAAGGGGAAGGGCCGGGAAAGGCCTCACTTACATCATATCTCTTGGCCACCCCGGCAATTCTTTTAACAAATATCCCTCCCATGCCAACAATGTGCTCAGTGGTAACACAATGAGGGGCAAAACGCCACATGATTCCTGACCAAGTTATGTTTACAGAATATTAGGGGTCTCAGGATGTCATTAAGGAGATGATCAAATAAATAAATGTGAAATTAAAATCACAAAAAGAAGTTTCAAAGGAAAGGTCTAAGAAAGCACAAAACAAGAGCCATGACCTATTCTATAACTATTTCTATGAGACACCCAGGTAAAGATCTGAAGGATGAGCAGGAGTTAATTAGGCCAAAAGAGGGCGAGGGGACATTCCAGGCAGAGAGAACAGCATGAACAAAGGCCGTGTCAGAAGGAAGAAGGGTGTGTTCTGGACCCAGCGAGGAGCAGTGAGGCTGAAGTAGAGACGGTGAGAGGCTGTGGGGAGAGGACAGACTATGGGGACTCTGCAGGCCACATTAAGGACTTTGGTTTTTATCTAAGAATGCTGGAAAGTTGTGGAAGTGTATAAGAACAGAGAGATGACACAGTGTGATGTGGTCAGAATTTTTCTTTACAGATCACTCACTCTGGCTGCTCTATGGAGAATATATTAGAGGGGACAGAGTGAACATGGACAGTGAGAAGGCTATTGCAGGCATCCATATGAGAAAATGGTAGCCTGGAGCAGGGTGGTATAAGGAGAAATGGAAAGAAGTGGACACGCTCAAAATATTATCTAGAAACAGAACTAACAGGCTTGGAAGATGAGAAAAGCAGTATCAAGGACTCCCAGGTTCTGGCTTGAGCAGTAAGTAGATGGTGCTGCCCTCCAGTGGGACAGGTTACAATGAAGGGGAGTCAGTTTTGGGGTGAAGATTGAAAGTCCAGCTGGGTCTGAGATGTCTGGAAGACATTCAAATGGAAATGTGAAGTTGACAGTAGGCTAGATAGGTCTAGAGCTCAGTGGAAAGGTTTGGACTGAATTTTGGGGTCATCAGTATGTGAGGACAACAGAAGCCAGGGTGAGAGTGAGATTACCTAGGGAGAAAATAGAGAGTGAATCTGGAGAAACATCAACATTTCACAGCTAGCTAGAGAAGGATAAGCAAACTAGAATGACCTGAGAAGCAGAGGAAAACCAGGATAGTGTGGAATGTTATGAAAGCCAAGGGAAGAGAATGTTTCAACAGTGACAGACACCAATAATAAATGCTAACATCTATTAAGTCTTAACTATGACCAGGTAATGGCAAAGGCTTTGACTTCATGATCAAATTTAATCTGCACAACAACCTTTTGAGGTGAGAACCATTTCCCCTTTTACAGCTGAAGTAACTGTGGTAGAAAAAGAGTAAGCACCTGACTCAAGGTCAGGTGGCTGGTATAGAAGCTGGAATAAAAACACAAGCAGCCTGACTCCAAACTCTGATTCACTTTTCTCTACTTCTTCTAGTGCAGTTTGGGAGGTCATATAAGATGAAGACTGAAGAGTGGCCATTGGACCACTCTTCTCTAAAGTGGAGCTTTAGAGAACGTTTCAGGGGAGAGACAGAATGGAAGCCAGTCTAGAGCCCACTATTAGAAATGCTCCACATTATTACTTGTTTTTCAATTGTCTGAGGGAGTCAGTTAGGAGGCCAGGGCAGTATGTCAAATTTGTTTCCTCAACAGCATTTAATTTGATGCCCTTAAGTAGATGATGCTCAAAGTTACATGTGAATGGTTGGTTAGACTAAGAAGCACAATGTTGCTATGTGCTGCTGCTAACCCTTCACATTACACCATTCTAATGTTTTTGAAGTATCTTCTCCATCACCTCCTTGACCCTCACAACTATGCTATGAGGTGGATTACTTTCACCACATTTTATTGATAAAAAACTGAGATTTATAGTGGCAAAGGAACTTGCCCACAGTTACACAGCTATCTTGGCTCAGCTAAGACTCAAATTCAGGTCTTCTAACTCCAAGTCTACTTTTCTTTCCTGGGAGTCCCAGTGCAAAGAGGACCCTTTGGGGAGTTAGGGAGACCTGAGTTCAAATGTCAGCTCTGTGTGACCCTGGGCAAGATACATCACCTTTCTGAGCCTTCCTGTTTTACTACCAAATGGGGCTGCAGGATTATTGTGAGAGCTGAATCAGATAGTCTAAGTGAAACTCACTAAACAAAGCTTAACAGACGTCAGTCATCCATCCCTGGCCCCACCCCACCCCTCTTCATCTCTGCCCTGAATAGCAGCTATGGGGCTTCTACAGGGTCTTAGTTCTTTCTTCCTAAAGAACAAGGCAGGATTAAAGCACACTGCAGGTTACATAATGCTGATACATACCAGGAGTCTTAGTTTATGTTCACGCTGGAGTCCCTTGTAGGGGCACAGGAAGGCCCAGGTGTCTGTCCTTCCTGTCCTGTCAGGAAGGCCCCAGCCTCCCATCCAGTAGCTAGACTTAATGACCTGGCTGGCTGTTTCCTTAGAGATAAACTAGACAAATAGCAAACTAGAATCAAAGGCTTGGATCATTAAATTCGGCAGCAATATCAACAGTACAACAGCAGATGGCAGGGTTGCTCTACACACTCCTGAGCCAGAGAGAGACTCAGGAGAAATTTAATGGCATTTTTACTGACAGTTGAGAGTTCATGAACCAACCCTTCAATGCTATCTGATACCCAGTGTGTGGTAGGTAGGGTAAGTGTTTTGATCCTGAAGTTACAGAAGAGGAAACAGAGCCTCTGGGAGGTTAAATGACATGCCCATATTCAGGAATGCAAAGAGACTCTTCTAAGTAAAAGGTCAGAATGCCTGGGTTCAAATCCCAGCTGTGCTACTTACTGGCTCTGTGACTGTGAGCAAGTAACCTCCATTGCCCTATTTGTAAAATAAGTTAAGACCAGTTCTACAGTTCTTAGGTTGCTGTAAGAATTAAATGAAATAACGCATGTGAAATGCTTAGGACAGTGTATAATATAGCACAGAGTAAGCACTCAATAAATGGAAACTGTTACCGCAATTGTGATTCTAAATAGTGCTTGTTTAGATGGGGGTGTAGGTGAGAAAATGAGCATGGCTTTCAGTATCACAGAAAACACTCTGTCATCGGCCAGCCTATTACACCACAGTCTCCGTTTGCTACATGTGTAACTTCCTCACTGAACTTTCCTGGAGTCACAAATTTAGCAGAAATGGTCTGTTGTCTGATGAAGTGACAACAGCTTTCTAACTGTATTACCCCTTTTTTAGAGCACAAACATGAAAAATCACTTCTTAAAAGAGAAAGCTCAAATAGTCTGTGTTTTGATCCTGAGAAAAGAGGCCCTGAACAGTTCCCAGGAGCCTTAAGAATGGTGGTTTTTTCCTCCCTCTGATAACACTGTTAGGAACCAGGGTCAAGCAACGAGTCCCAGGTAGGGGCCATAAAGACTAACAGAGGCAGCTTTCCCCTCCTCCCACAACCACTTCTCCTGGACCAAACATCTCTAATGAGAGTGAAAGAACAATCATCAGAAAATTTGCCAAGGTTCTTCGCTTTGCCAACATGACAAGAGTCCAAGTCATCATTCATATCTCCACACTTTAACTTCAGCTACAAACGACACACAGTCTGGCTGCTTTCCCAGCCTCCCCACATGAGAGGGAGCCAGTTTCAGAGAACTTCAGAGAGAATGGCCCCAGCTCTAGAATCAATGGCACTGCTCAAGGAAAGGGAAGGCCAGAGGTACTTAGAGTCCATACAGACCTGTTGCAAAAGTTGAGAAGCAGCAGCAGGAGGGCTGGTCAGTCAGGTGTCCAGAGATCAGAAGGATCCTGGCCAGGCGCCCAACTGTACCAGCACAATTACAGACTGGGCTACTTCTAGGAGATCTGTCAGCTGGCCTACTCTGTACAGTCCCAGGTTCCAGCCTTAAGTGGCTTCCTATTGTCCCAGGCACCTGAGAAACTGGCGGGAAGCTATAAAACGCAGGATTACGGATATGGCTGCAGATGGGGGATGGGGTAGTATAAGAAGGTGAGGAGAAGAGTTTGGGCCAAACACCAGCAATTTCTCCATTCAATATCCAGCCCCACCCTGTGACTAGAAAAACAAAGGTGTGGGGGAAGGGGATAAGAAAAGTCATTTCCTTTATTGTAACTGTAGCCCAGCTGGATAAGAGCAAGGCTGGAAGGGAGTCATGAAGAATGAATTTCTTTGAGTAGCATGAAGGCAGGGTCCTGTTTCCAGCAGAACTGCACCCAAATACTCTGAATTCATCAGAGAATCACCGGTGAGCTAGGGTTGAAGAGACCTTAATAGACCATTCAGGTTGATGCCTCATGCTCATAACCCTGGGCTTACTTCTGGAGTCAGACACAGTCCTTGCCAGCACTGAAGATCTTCCTCCGTTCTGGACAAAAGTCAAATTGGCTCCAAAGTGGCCACTCTCCCCAGGACAAACTGCCAGGCTCCAGTTATCCAGTTTGTGTGAGAAACCTCAGGAGTCAGGAGATGAGCTCCTTCAATAGAGTTGAATTAGAAAGACTCCTTCCTTGAGGCAAAGCTGTAAAGGGGAGACTGAACCTGGATGCTCTACTTCTCCCACAAGCATGATCTTTGGTTTAATCATGCCACGGTAGTTCAAAGTTTAACTTAATCCCTGAGGCTCCATATCAGATGACCAATGAGTATGTAATAAGAGAAAAAAAATATGCATGTACAAGTATGTAGACAAACTCACGATATAATATAAAGTGACAGCTACTGATTATTAAAGGTTTTATGTTTCAGGTGCTATGCTCGGCACTTTATATAGGTTATTACATCTAATTATCCCCAACAACCTTATGGGATGAGTACTATTTTTATTCCCATTTTACAGATGAGATGCTTGAAGTTCAAGGGAGTCACCTAAGGCCAGTAAATAAACTGCAAAGCCAGGATTTGAAACCAGACAGTCATCCCATAACCTGCACTCTTACCTGCCAGGATAATGTGCCTTACTTCTTTACAAGCATGTATTTGTGTGTGTTTCTGTATGTCTCTCTTTCACACATACAGGGTGCTCTCTAATAAACTAGCACCTGACTAGACCTGCAAATGACCCAAGCCTTCAGTTCTAAGGCCAACTCTTGTCTTCCATGGCCTGTTTGTGTGTAACTCTTTTTGTCTTTTTAGTTTCAGGCCTCTCATGTCTGATATGAAGGGGTTATAGCATAAGTAGGTGGTCCCTTCTAGTTCTGAAGTTCTTTAGTTAAGAGAGAATCCAGAAAGTCCAAAGATTACCACGTTCTACCCAATCCTACTTATTTTGGATAGGAAATGTTCATACAAAGAGGAAAGCAGTAGGAATAAATATGACTTATGGGTTAGATGCCAAGGCAAGCCCCAGCCTAGAAACTCACTAGGTTCTGATGTTGCTCATTAGCTTCAGTTCTAAAATGAGAGGGTTAGCCCAAGGCTTTGTCTATGATGTCCCTTACAGCTCTGACATCTGCTCCTATCTAACTAAAATGCACAGTAAAGGTAGAATCAACTTCCCTGAGAGTAAAAGGAGGAAGAACCAAGGCAATTAGATCTAGAGAAGGCTGGAGAGCTGAGTTAGAGATAAAAGGGCAGAAAATGCTGGTTCTTCTTCAATTCTTCCAGAGGCCAGAGTTCTCCAGCCCTCCCCGCAACCCCCGAAGCACCCCTCCCCGCGCTCCCCTCCAATCGGGTGGAGGCAAATGCTGAAAGGTCAATATCAGCACAGGAGATGCTTTGCAGCAAGAGCTATGTGTGGGAGCTGGAATCTACAGCAAGTGGTGCCTGTTTAGTCTGTCTCATTCTCAGAACGGGAGCACAGCCCCACCACTTCAGACAACGGGGACAACACATGCCCTCCCGGCCTCAGATGAGTAGTGACTACAGGCCAGGCACTGTTTTATGCTCTGGAAAATGCAAAGACAAGCTCCCACTCATGAAGATTCCAATCTCACAGCGGAAAGTAACAACCATTCAGTGTGTGTCCACCATGTTCTGGGGCCCTGGCATATATTATTTAATTCAATCTTAATAAGTCTATGAAATAGATCCTTAATATCTATTGTTTTCCTTATGAGGAAATAACCTCAGACAGCAGAAACAAATCTGACTTTAAAGTTTGTGCTATTTTCAAGAAACTGAGCTGCCTTAAAACAATAAGAGCTATAATAAAGTTAATAACAAAAAGCAGGAAACTAGGGAGGCATCCTGCAGTGAAGGGCTGGCTTTGCCAACTGCACCAAAAACAACCCTTAAGACACCTGCATAATCAGTAGTGTAGGCAAGGGAAAGTCACTCTGGGCCTCAGTTTCCTTACCTAAAAAGCGAGGGTGTTGGGACACCATGGAAAGGTCTGCTCTCACCTGCCCGCACCCTATTTCTAGCTGTACCCGGCCCATTGGTGGCTCTTCCACTCTCACTTTGTTCATGTGCTCTTCTTTGGCATGTCTCTCCCTACCCTGCACCCACCGAAAGAGAAACTCTCAAGGCAGAAACTTGTTTGTGTAGTTTCCAGAAAATGAAAAGTTCCTGGCCTGTAGTGCAATGGCAAAAACAGGAGGATAGATCTACTTACCGGAAGCAAGAGCTGTGCCAGGCTTCGTTGACAGTCCTGTATAATCTCTGGCTCGGAGGAACATGGTCCCCACAGCCCCGACACCTCCAGGCGTCTTCACCTGCACACAAAACCAAGGGGTTCAGAGGCCTGAAGTAGCAGGAGGTCAAAGGGACAAGATTTCTACCATGTGGAATAAGACTTGAGGTAACAGGATCTCATGTTGAAAGGGTTGGGCCAATGCTCTGCTGGACACACACTTCTCTCCTCCATGAGATCTCTCGTAAGCACTTACCCTGCCTACTCATCTCCCTGGGGAAAGGGAATTCATGGCCTCAAAAATAGTCTCATTCCATTTTTAAGAAATAGTTCTGATTATTCCTTTTTCTACCAAAACAAAACCCGCCTTTTCTAGAAGTGTCAGTCCTTATTTATAGTTCTGAGGAGACAAAATGAGCAAGGTCTCTTTTCAGATCAGCCTTTCCTACAACTATTCCCAGCCAGAACCCCAAAACATCTCCTCTCTAGGTTAATCATGTTATTTCCTTTTCCTATTCCTCAAAGGTCCTGGTTGTACAGATTTTGCATCACCTAGTCCAGGAGCTCATTCATTCAACACCATCATAGGTCCTCTCTTTAGACCCATGGGTCCTCTCCAAGCTCTATATTGGAGATTGTTGGATAACATCACCTCTGCTCCTCAGGAAGCAAATCCACTGGAAATGGGACATTCTTCCACATTGTAAATTTTCACTTAGATGTTCTTTCAGAACTAGAAGCAAAGTGCTATTTTCGTTTAGAGAAAGAAGTTATGGGTACAGAAGGGAAAGAACAAACATTTAATGAATGTTTCCTAAATGCCAAGAACTGTGCTAGCTGCTTTCACACACCCAATCTCATTTAATTCTCAAAACAACCCTGTGAGACAGGTATTATTATATTCATTTAATGGATGGGAGAATTGAAACTTGGGGTCAGAGGTGATAGGCCAAGTGGCAGATCTTATATCCCAATTTAGGTCTGGCTCATTCTAAAGCCCTTGCTATTTCCACTCTACCATGTTAATTCCTCTTAGGGGAGCCAGGAAAGTCTTTGTAGAGGAAGCTGACACTTGAGCTGAGCCTTGAAAGATGGGGAAGATTTATCAAAGGCTGAGAAAGAATGGGGAAGCACTATGTAGGCTGAGATATTAGCATGGACAATGGCACAGAGTCAGTCTATGTCCCTCCAAAAGGGACAAAACACATTACTCCTGGTGTGGCTCAGATGCCAACTTCTTGAAATAAAGAAGGCAGCTGAGATCAAGCTGTGGTACCTGACTCAGCCCTAGAAGGCGGGACAAGGTTGTTACAAGACTCCCTTGTGCTTTCTGTGTATGCAGCTTTGTTCTCTCTGGGTAACTCTAGACTGCTACAGGCACAGTGACAGCCACTGAACCCTGTTTCACAGGCAAAGGGGACAT